CAAAATCTTCTGATCCAAATTTTTCATGATCAATCAATTTTGACATTTATATTTACTGAAAAATACATATATCAGTATCGGCAATATGATTTTCTAATACTAAATAACGTTAAAAAAAAAAGATTGTTTGTGACAAACCATAAAAACAAGAATTGTGCTTTCTAGATCATTAACCTTGGAATTATCTGAAGAAGATGAGGGAAAAATAACCTAACTTGTTGCTTCACCTAATCAGCATCATCCTTTTTCTCGAGACATTGAGGATACTTGATAGGAAGCTCTATGACAGATTTATCATCACACAATCCTTGACTACCCATCCCAAGTGCGTAGCCTAACGCAAACCAGACTGGAACAGCAACAGCATTTCCAACCTGAATGTATCTGTTACATCCACCCAAGTTCATTGTGAGAATCACAAAAACAGAGAGAACATTACGCAACTCAAGAACCTTTGGTACTCACTTATCCCTAATAGTGCCATTTAGCTTATAGCAATCAGGAAATCCTTGAAGTCTTCCGTTCTCGCGGACTGTGAGAACACGGTCTTGCAAAGGGTGAATTATACGCCGTAGAAAATCGGTTTTAATAACAGAGAAATTCAGTACGAGGTAGAGATCAAAAACAGATTAAATGTGCGTATAGAAGAAGACAAAACCTGATTATGGGGTTGGGCACGTGTCACAACCGTGTTAACGATTTCGTCCCACCAAAGCCTACCAAACGGCCTGAGTTTGCATATAGCAGATGAACAATTTTAGTGAGTAAATGTCATTTATATGGAATCCATGAGAAAGATGTAGTTAGCGAAAATTACTTTAGAGATTTGCCATCTTCACAAGACAATGCGTAGTCAGGAATCTGAGAGAAAAGACAGAACTTATCATGAAAAAATTGCAAGTAAAATAATTGGAAAAAGCAAATAAAAAGAAGAAGATAATTCATAAGAGTGGGATTGAATTTTTCTGTACCAAAGGGTTTCCAGACTTCACTGTTGCTCTCTTAACCGAAAGGTCAAGTCGGACAACATTATCCTTGGTTATTATTACACCTCCCAAGTCTCTGAAATTGCGCCCTGTGAGCAATAAGAATGGTTATGGGTACGAATAGTTAGATATACATGTTGATTGCTCGAAGTCGGACAATATGTGATTACAATCGATATATATGTTTTGTACCTTCTTCTTTGGAATCTTGTAAACCCTTTCATAATCATCAGCAATCAACCGTAAAGGTTGATGATCGAAAAGCATTTGTGGCTGTAAGTTGTCTTCACCATCCACTGAGATTAGTGTATCTAAAGCAAGAATATCATTAGTCTTCTAGAAACTATTTGTAATACCAGTAGACACATAGTAATACCAAAATATACAGATTTGAAGAGGCTCACCAGCTCTTTTAAGTCTAATAAACTTCTGAAAGTCTGTCCTAGAATTTGTTTTGTACTCTCTTTTGTCTTCTTTCTCATAGTTGGTCGCCTGTTACATCTAGGCAAAAGTAAATTTGGATCGAAACAAAATCACTTAAGCTATAATTTACACACCAGAGGCAGATCATCAATTGCATCTTCCAGATAAAGAGCCGGTTCCAACTTAATATGTGGATTATATCCCACTTTTGAATCTTGCAATTAAAACAAATTCATTAGCGATGCGGTAATATGAGAAGTAAAAGTGCAAACTCTCCCAATTTTTTTAGAAAGGCTTACCTCAAACTCTTTAGGGATGACATTTTTAGTTTGAACTTCGTGAGTTGCCAAAGGAAATGGAGGCAATTTCTGTTAACCAAATATAAAAAGGCGATAAGACATGTTATATATAAAATGTAAGTATTATATCTATAATAAATAAATAAAATTTACCGATGTGGGTTGAGCACCCCATAAGAAAACCCGGTTCCTACATTGAGGAACTCCATAAGTACCTGCTGACATTATCCCTAGTCTTGTCTGATAGTTGATGTTTACAAGACGTGCTATCGCATAACGAGCAAGAAATCCTTTTGAAAACTTTAGAAGGTCTACAACATTCTCCAAAAAGACATACTTGGGCTTCAAGTAGTCTATGATATCCATGTAAACCACCAATTGCCAATTTTTCTTCTCTTCAAACGGATTTTCTGGATTTCTAAACCGGTTAAAAATTGCTGATACCTTGACATGGAGGACCTCCACACACAATATGCACGTCTTCCTGGAAAAAACAACGTGAAAAAGTTATGAGAAAATGGGAACCATAAAATATTTTGAAGAAAACCAAACATAGTACTTGAAACCTTTTGTTACAAACTCCTTCAGTTTGTCTTTGCATTGTCTGAAATCATATTCAAATTTAAGAACAATATGAAAAGTCTAAAAATAGAAAAGTGAAAAGATTTACCGTAACCCATCATAAGGCTCCCACGTATCTTCATCTGAATCATAACCCTTCCAGCGCACCTAAAGAACAACGAAACATATATAAATTTGATTGTTAAATTAACATCTTAGAAAAGGATAATTAAGGATACACAAACCGTATAACGATTTTTAATTTACAGCCATATATATAATGTACCTTAAAATGAAGCGCAGATGCAGCTTCCTTAACATTCTTGGGATTCCCATAACAATTGGAGAGTAACTCTCCAACCTCGAATCATCAGGTGGAATTTCATATCCATTACTCTCTTCTACATCTTCATATTCTGTATCGCTATCAGATTCTATTGGCTCATTTGTGAAAACGAGTCCAAACTTTTGGCATAGCCTCCTCCACTCCTTTAACAAACTCAAAAAATCCTCTGCAGCTTCATTTATCACCTAAAAATTGTACAAAAGTTATTATTATATGTATGGATATTTAGACAAAATGATTCTAAAAAGCTATAACTAAATCACAACTAAATACTTGTCTCGGTTTCAAGGTGATTGAGTTTCAAATCCAGGCTGATTTATCCATATCCATTGCCCATTTCTGCAAACAAGTGGAAAGAAGTAAAACATCTTTATTTAAAGGCACACATTATAAACACTAGCAGAAGTTTTCATGGCAAGAGAAACTTACAGTTTTCAATTTAACACCTGACAATGAGGAACCCATAGTCAACCCTGTCGACATGGTGCCGCATCCGGAGTATAAATCCAGTAGATCTAATTCTTTCTTGTAGGAAGCACCACATTTTGAATCATCTTCATTCGAGATCGTTGATTCATCACTCTCGACATAGTGAATATCTTGAAAAAACAGAATCCATCAAGTTTGTATAGGAGTTATTAAACAATTTATGGAGACAAAAACTTCAACCCTAAGCTAATTTAAGAACCAAAACTAATACATATGAAATATATAAGCATAATTAAAAACCAAAAATGGGAAAAAGTACCATCATCAGCATTTGAGAAGGTAAAGTGGTCCAACTCGTATGTCATGTCATAAAAGAAATCACATGAAGGTAGTATAACTCTCTTCTCGTTTTCTAAAGCCATCTGTTAATACAAAGGATACAAAATCTATCAATATGAGTATAATAATTACAAGCCAACTCATCAAAACTTTCAAGAATTCAGAAGTATACATTTTTACCTTCAACGGAAACATTTACTTTAGACAAAATACAGTTTAGCGAGTTATCATCTTCCACATTTGTAAGAAACACTCTCTTATCTTGCACAAGTTTTTCTGTTTTGTAATTTGCAACAGCCTTAATAACCTGGAACACTCATTAAGAACATGAACATCAGAATAAGAGATACATGTAAAAATCAAGAAAATGAAAAACTATTAAAACTCACCGTATGCTCGGGTCTGTAAAACCACTACGCTCTGAAATAGGGCTCACCATCTATTCCTAAGAAAAGCTCAATGATTTTGGCAATATGGTTAGGTTCGTTCTCGTCCGCCTATACTCAAAATACAAATAAATTAGCCACATTAGCTTTAACCACATTATACTCACAAAATTCAAATATAATGCCTAAGAAAGTTTTAGGGAAAAGAAACAGATACAAGGACCGTCTTGCAAGCACAATGAGCAAAAAATCTCAACACATTATGGCAATCTAGAACTTCACACCTACTAAATCCCTTTTCATGATCAAACCTATGGATTATAATAAGCCTAGAAGGAAACTCAATCCGAACAGGAGAACGAAGTATTCAGTCTCAGACCGGACAGAACCAAACAGACTCTCAAGATCAACAACAAAAAAGTCTAGAATATAAAATCAATAGTCTCAAGAAATCTCAGAACCAACAAAAAAAAAACATACCATACCTGAACATAAACATCATCGCCTAAGTTCAACACAACCCCATCCACCACGGCTTGATTGTAATGAACTTTAGTCTTGAGCTTCCTTGCCGAGCCACTATTATTTAATTTAGCCTTGATCTTCCTTTCCGAGCCACTATTGTTCATTTTAGCCATTAGACACAAAACGAACATTAACAAATACAAAGATCAAACTAACCGGAGTGTTACTAATAATACTATTAGGGTCATTTTGATTTTGCTTTGAAACAGATCAAAGAGGAAACTTATTTACCGATTCTTAGGAGTCTTGGTGGACTATCTGCCATTTTTGTTGAAAAACAGAGTATAAGAGATAATATATTTCAAGTGCAAAAGAGAGAAG